GCACGTGGGATCTTCCCAGACCAGGGCTCAAACACGTGTCCCCTGCATTGGCAGGCAGATTCTTAACCACTGCGCCACCAGGGAAGTCCCAGGTTTCCTGATTTTTATTGTTGTAAATTATGCCATGGTATATGTTTTGATACATGAATCTTGATCTGCATTTTTAATTATTACATTATGACAGATAACTAGATGAGACATTATTGAGTCAAAGGATAAGAATATTTCAAGGCTCAAGATGCCTTCATTGCTTCTAGAAAAGTTTCTTGAAACAGGGGAGTGGCACGATCAGATACATGATCTTTATAGATAACTCGGGTTGTAGAATCTTGGGAAAAGATAATTAGAAGTTAAATGGCAAATGGAAATTGGGAGGGTGTAGACATAGAGATTGGGATGCAGTTTAGGGATATTTGTAAAATAGAGTCAAAAGGGCTTGCTGATTATGGAGGTGAGAAACCAAAGAAAACTGCTTTGCTTTCCAACCTGCCTAACTGGGGGAATACTGAAGTTGCTAATACAGAAAGAGAAGATGGCAAGGTGTGTAGATGTATAGAAGAGGATAATTTGGTTTGAGACTTTTTTTTTACTTGAATTATACACCTATTTTGAATGGCTTTAAGTGGAATCAAATAGGCATTTGGAAATATGTTTACTGGTGGGGAACATCTGTAATTTTTGCCTCCCCTAAATATGGGACTAACTTTAGAATTTTTTTAAGAGGAGGGCATTGGGGTGACAAGCTGGTTAGAAGAAGTCTTGTCTTAAAGCTGCATTTTTTTTTTTAGCAAACTCCTGGTTTTGTTTTAATTTAGATAGCGTGTTTATTTAGTTATGTAAATGGAGATTGGAGAACACTGAAGATTCTAAGTCAGCCCTGGATAGCCACTGCTGGCATCCATTCCTTCTCATTCTGGTAATACCACTTCAATTTTCCTTGGGAGAATCACCCCTCTCCCACCCCCACTTCCTGTGGTTTTAGCACACCTGGTACTACTCTATGGATCCAAGGATGGGCATGTATCTCAAGTCAGCCAATCAGAGTCCATGGGGTTGAAGTCAAGGAGTTTCCAGGGGAACTACTGAAATACTCTTTCCACAGGGATTGCTGAGAGAATAAGATGGTAGAACTGGAGTTGTTAGCAGCTATTTTGCTGGTCTGGCAATGGAGTCAACCCAAAGGAAAACAGAACTGAGTTAATTCTGATGACCTGGTTCTGATGTTATCTCTTGAGCCCTAGGATCCAAGTGCATAGATACCAGTTCTAGTTGCCGTCCTTTTTGGCATTAAAATTCCATTTTTATCTTAAGCCATTTTGAGTGGGTTTCTGTAACATACAACTAAGAAAGTCCTGACTAATACAGTATTGAAGATCAGAAAAATGTTCAAGTTTTCAAAAGTTTCAACTATTCAAAATAAAATGAAGAGGAAACCTATTATGACCACACATGTATTCTCTCTTATATTTAATGGTTGACAAATATGTATGGAACATCTCCTGTAGGGTCAGGCACTACGTTATGCTCTGTACATAAAACAGGTTAATTAAAGGTATGGTTACAGAAACATTTTTATGGACGGCATATTAAAAAATCATTATAATTCATAAGTTGGCTGAATTAGCTAGCTAGAATTAATAGCATGAATTTCGGCTTTTATGCTTTATATACTTTGCTTTTCATTTCTTTTGTAAAGACCTGAGGGTAGCTAAAACTAGTAGCCAGCAAAAAATTTATTTGCTTGAATTTTATTGTTTCAAATGTCCAGAATATAAAGCTCCATACTAGGAACTCAAGTTTCAAGATATAGATTACCAATGGGTATTGTATCTTATATTTAAAATGCCTAAGGGAATTCCCTAGCGGTCCAGTGGTTAGGGCTCTGTGCTTCCACTTCCGGGGCCAGCGGTTCGATCCCTGGTGGGGGAACTAAGATCCCACAAGCCACATTGTATGGCAATAAAATAAAATAAAATGACTAAAAAATGCCCACCTGTTGATATGTAGAATTTGGTGGTCTTTCTCCTGCATCCTTATTTGCATTACTTTCAAAAGGTACAGATGGTGAAATCACATCTAGCAATAAAAGCTTGATTAAGCTTTTTGATGTGACATTAGTAATAACAGATTATATATAAAGTTGTAGGGGTAAGAACTAATCACGTCTTTTTTTTCTTCCTCTCTAATATTCATGAATGTTTTACTTTTTAGCCACCCTTGTGCCTCAGCTGTCTCTTTTGGTCTTGAGTTGTCAGTTGAGGATGGTTTAATTAAGAATGTTTTTCCTTCACACTCCACCCTTGGGTCATTAAAAATTGCAATGGGGGCTTCCCAGGTGGCACAGTGGTTGAGAGTCCGCCTGCCGATGCAGGGTACACGGGTTTGTGCCCCGGTCTGGGAAGATCCCACGTGCCGCAGAGCGGCTGGGCCCGTGAGCCATGGCCGCTGAGCCTGCGCGTCTGGAGCCTGTGCTCCGCAACCGGAGAGGCCACAACAGTGAGAGGCCCGCGTACCACACACACACAAAAAATTGCAATGGAAAATATGATAATGGAAAAATAAATTATTTCAATCTGTTATTAATATGCGTACTACTTAAATATGTATCGTGGGATCCATAAGACATTGTACTGAAAAAGCCCGAAACATAGAGAAAAGTATTTCTTATTCCTCATTATCCTACATCTCATAAAATTTACATGTAACCAGTAATTAATGTACCACAGTTGTATAGCAACAAAATATTTCATCTTTTCTAAATTCACTGCTTAAATTTAAATAAGCCAAAACTTTTTCTTTTTCTCACCAGGGGTTTTCAAGGAACTCAGTAGTGAGTTAGAAAACATATTCTTATTAAAAAACAAATACATGTGACAAAGAGAAATTGTATGTGCCTTTGTCCAGGGAACCCCACACAGGCCTTTTTATGGCTTCAGAGCCATGTCTCAAGCCTGAGTCCTTTCTTTCTTCCCAGCAAGTGCCAGAAGCCTAATCTGCATTCCTCTTCTCTTTCTGCTAAGATTCTTGATATCCGAAGCCAAAGACAAGCTGTTGAGTGTGGCACATTTCCCCCAGTCTTGCTCTCCACCCACTTTTAATTTTTGGCTGCCCTCATTACAAGAGTTTTGATGGAAGAAATTTTCACATACTGAGGTATGTGGAAGTCATTCTGGCTCATACATGATTTAACTTAAACCTTATGCTAACTAGAACAGTCTGTTTTGTGGCCTATTAAACATGCATTGTACATCTGCTTCAACCATTAAAGAAAAGAATGCATTTAAAAATCAAAATGGAAAAATTGTGGTTCAGGCATCCAAAATGGAGCTGGGTGGCCATTGTGGATATGGTTTCAGATATGTTGTGCATCACTTAGAACTTCTTAGAACTTGAATTTTCTGAACAGTATCAGTCTCAAGGACACCACCAGTCGTTCTCAAAATAATTATCTGCTAGCGGCTGCCAGCCACAGTCTAATGGTCCCAAGGTCTCCCCTTGTAACTCTGCAATCATTTCGGACCCCAACAAATTCTTGCTTAACAAGCACCCTTACTTCTTACCAGCTCCAATCCTAATTCTTGACAAACAACTTATGTAATTTTACGGTTTTTGCCTTTATAAGCCACCCCCTTTTTGTAGTCCAGTGGAACACAATTCAGGTGCTTCTTGAATCTGTGTATCCCAGGCTATTGCCCTCAGTTTAGCTCAAATAAAACTCTTTTCTATTTCTATCATAGATTGGTTTATTGATTATTTCTATTGACAGTTTTATAGCTAATCACTCTGGGAATAGCAAAAATAATAAACTTTTAAAAATGTCTGAAAGCTTGGAAATTGTATAAATCTCTTACAGTCAGTTCTTCCTGCATCATATCTCCTCACTACCCTGTTAGATGATTATTCTGAACTATACCGGATTGGATTTCTACTTTCAGCCTTCCTGGTGGAGCTCACCAAATCTACTCACTCCTTCAGAGTTTACTTTTCATGACATTTATGCAAATTCCTTCCTCTGAAATGGCCCTTCTTTCCTGCATGTAGACTAGAAGTTATAACCAAAACTGAAAGGGTATCCTCTTGTCTCAAACTGGTAATTTGCATGTTTGAGGAAGCAGAGATTGGGTAACATCCATTGCAAGGTATGGGTACCATCTAGGAATCATCACCTCTGTGCAGTCACATTTCTTAAAAGGATGTTAGTTTATTTTAGCTTTTCTCAGATTTCCAAGTTTTGGTATTTCCCAGGGAAATGAAAACGGATTTTTTTTAGACACAAAAGATTCATATTTGTATTTTATAAGTTATTATTCTCGTTGTAAACCTTATGCCTATCATTCTGCATTTAAAACCTTTTAAAATATGGATTTCAAATTATTTTACAGTTATTGGTAAATCCTGTGAGAGAGGGGGCACTTAGAAAACTGAGGAGGAGGGGAACTGACAGAGGAAGTCATCGCTCCCAGTACTTGTGTTTACAGGCTCATTCTCCGGAATTATGACTCAAGACATTTTCAACATCACTGCAATGCAAAAAGTATCGAGTTCATTGGTGTTCAAAACTGTAATTAAAAAATTTCAGGTACCACTGCTATTTCTTAAGAAATTGGATCTGGCGTGTCATTTTACGATTTAAATTCTACTTTAAGCTTTGAGGTCACATATACAAATAAGAAAATGTGCGCTTAGGAAGTCAGGTTTTATTCCCACTCAATGTTTGGTATAGTGAGCACTATGAAGCAGCTAGAAAACACACGCACACAAGGTATCAGGAAAAAAAAAATGAGGTTAACATCCTAGTGTTGATTCTTCCACGCATAAACGTAGCCCTGGCCGGGTTCAGGGGCCTTGTGAGACAGGCGCTCCCGGGCGAGACCTCCCAGAAGCAGAGAACGAGGGTGGCCCAGAGTCCCCCCGGGGCCTAAGCGGGACGCGGTCAGGGCGTCTGGGGTCGCTGGTCCTGGCCGAGGATAGCGGGACCAGACGTTAGGTGAGACCGAGAGGACGGGAACCGCGACCCGGCAACGGTACCCAAGGAGCACCCAGAGCCTTCGTGCTTCCCCCGCTGGGAGGGGCGGGGCGGGGTTGGGCAGGGCGAGCGCGGGCGTTGGCTGCGACGGCGGCGAGGGGGCGGAGCCGCGCGAGGCTGCGCGCTCGCCGTTTTCCTGCGCTGGGGGGCGCGCGGCGCGGGTCCGCCGCGTTGTGGGACGAGGCCGCGGCGGGACGTGAACGCCGCAGGTGACCCGGGCGAGGAGCTGGGTGCCCGGGCGGCGGCGGAGGCGTGGAGGCGGGAGGCGGGCCCTCGCTCGGCTCGGCTCAGCTCAAGGCTTGGGCGCTGCGGCCTGAGGAGACAAGGCGGCCGAGGTGGGCGAAGAGAGGGCGCGCGGCACCCTCTTGACGGCCGGCGGCGCCCGCGGCCCTCAGCATGTTCCGCGAGGCGAGGGTTTTCCTCCCGCCCGTGGGCTGAGGCGGCGCCGGCGGCGGCAGGAGAAGCGACATGCACCTGCCAGGCGCGGCTTAGAGGACGCGGCAGGCGGCGAGTCCCGGCCGCCCGCGGGAGGGCTTGTTTCGCCCGGACGCCGCCGCCTCCCGTCTCCCGCCGCCGCCGCGGGCGCGGGCGGA